AAGTCTTCTCTTTAATAAGAGAGCAGCCCTTCGGTCTTCTGGAACTATGCTGACAACTTATATTAGAGATCAAACATGAACTTCTTTTGCTCTGAACCGGAGCTTTACATTGAGCAGCAGCATCATCAATTAGGCTATTGAAAAAAGTATGATAGTTTAAAACACGATCTAAGCAGACTGACAAAATAGTTGTTTTAACCTGTCAACGTAAGTATGTCATTTTGACAACTTTCAATTTATTAAATTATGTAGCCAACTGCTGCTGCTCATTATCTACACCTGCCAGATCTATGCCAAAGAATGCCACACTAGTCTGACTTGTGCCATCCTCACACATCCAGTGTAACATTAGGGCTATTACTCATCTTTATTGTAAAGTCCTGCCATTCACAGGGATTATATTCTTGGAAAACTTGACAAACGGTAAATTTGCAAATGGTGAATATATTTTATAATGGCAGTCAGCTGGATGCGTTTCAACCATCCAAGGCTTTGATGTTTACAGTATACAGAAGATAGAAAACAATAAATAAAATGTTTGGAGTATGCATGAATATGCCCTACTGGAGAACGTATGTTAAATATTAAGAAACACATAAAATTTATCACAGCTACTCTTATTGTAAGACTGTGCTGCAAAAGACAATCATCATCACAACAATGAAAACCCAGCAACACCCAAACAACACCCTGAAAACCAAATGGCATATGACACATATAGAGTGCACACTTTGTAATCCAGGAAATACAGAACAGTACATCATGGACCCCTTCCATATCTTTTTTTACATTTATTTCTGAGCTTTTCTTTTGACATTTTCTTCAATATTTCTTCTATATTTTTCCAAAAATCACAGATAAATAACCATTGGATGTGCGGTGAGTAAAATGGTATACAGAATATTTTGCATGGCTAAGCAAATTTGGGAAAGGCAGGACTTTGTGTTTATACCTCGTGATGGATGGTTAGTGCTCGCTGGAAAGTACAAGTATCACACTCAACAGTTAAATGGGATCTGCTCATTAGACTAGCACTTATTGTTTCGGTTTAGGCAATTTGATGAGATGTAAGCTTTTATAAGATACTTTCCCTCTTTGAGTACACACTCTGTGATACGGAAAATGCCCTGAGAAAACCCATGCTTTCCATTTCATGTGTGGTTCTGTGATAGATCAGTAAAGACTCATCACTGGAGTTTCATATATTCCAGAAAAATTAAACTGGTAATATAGTAAAAAAATAGTAATTTCTACAATGAGGTGATGTAGTCTAATACTACACAATTGAGTAACTCTTTTGAGAACTATAGAGAAGTTAATAACAGCTTTTTAAATGTTGTTTTCAAAATGATACATCTTACAAAAAATTGTATTCACCTGTATCCTGTTTATACATTATATACAATTCATTACCACAGGAAAGTATCAAAGGGCATGGCCTGGTCTCTCACAGCCTAACTGTAAAACAGCACATTACTAAAAGTAACACACAGCTGCAGAAATCATTTCAATCCGTCCAAATCCCTAGGTGTGTTACTTGCCTTGAAATACATCCCAGTGTGATAGTTACTGTTTTCATGCAAATATCTAAAATACAGAAGTTGGAACGGAGTGGAATATTTTGGAACGGAGTGGAATATTTTTATGTATGAAAGGATATCAGGGATGTACATTGTTTATTTGAACATTTGATACAGGAAATAACACAAATCGTGGGATTTATTTGCTTTGTATATGCTTTTGTTTTCCTGTTGAAAGGAGTTAAATCTTTACTTTTTCTGCCAAAACAGTTACTTAATTTAAATGTGTTTGTGATTTTAGTTGAAACATTCAGTAAATGAGAAGTACAGATCCAGGTTATTCTTGACAATTGTTGCATGCTTTATCATCTAGTTTTAATTATTGGTGGATATGGAAGGCAAATTGCTTTTGTGAACTTACCAGGCCACCCCCCACATTGCAACCTCCATCCTATGGAGGTGCTGTTGTCTACCACTGCTCAGACTGTGTAGTTGTTGCATGGTTTTCATTGTGTGAAATAATTGGATCTAATAATTTATTTTGGGAAAACAAGAGGTGCAATATGGCACTGTAATGGTGATTGATTCACATGGATGTGCTTATCTCCCACTTTTTAAAAAAAAAATCTCACTTCACCTTAAGGTGATAATCAGTCTTGAGTAACCATGCCAACTTCAACTCGGCCTCGAGTTGCGATAAAATTTTAATAGTAGCGTATACTTGGGTATAGCATCACCCTTATTTTCTGTGATTCTTCCCTTTGTTATAAAATGCCATATCCATTGAACAATGCCATGGGAAATATGCTACAAAATTCAACTTTTTCAGTTAACATTCATCAAGTTATTCAATTCTGACCTTGCAGCCTTCCTTCTATGTAATTTAACAAGACTAAAAAAAAAGCTGTGTAACAATTATAGTGTGCAAACATGCCTGACTAAAGTCCATTTAAATCAAATATTAGTCTCAAAATTGATATTTAAAGTCTGTAGACAGTTTGCTTTGCTTCACCTACTTTCATTAAGGTTGTACACATTTCCGGTAGGTATATAACAAAAACAGGAAACTGGTGGTTTCGTGTTTGTTTGAAAAGAAGTGCAGGAGGAATGCTTGATCAAGCATTCCACACAGACTTCATAGGGTTAATCTACATCAGCAAAAATAAACCCTGAGCAGTGTACCTCATTTACATAGAAAAAAGTCAACAGCCTCCAGTTGAAGGCAAACAGCTACAACATCTGCAATCAATTCGGAGGCCATTTGTAATAGTTTATACAATGTATTTAACAGGTATAGTTAGCCATTAGTTAAGCTTTACAAAATACATTTTAATCATGAATGTCAACATCCAGTGATTTTTCTATTACCAAATTTTTGTTTATACATTGGATGACGCAGACATCATTTGGAAATTTCTGTATGGCTATTGTGCACAAATCATTGAAATTACATTATCAAGACATCCTAAAGATTCAATGGATGAATACACCAACCAGTGTAGACTAGAGTAGGTAGATTCTAACTTCAATCCTTGCAATAAATGAATTGACCTGCTTTTTACATAAGGCTTAAGCAGGGCATTAGTGTGACTGAGTCAAAGCATGGGTCTAACAAGGATAGTGGCCAAAGTAGATTTTCAAATTTATTAAGGTCAACTCTCAGAACAAATTATTCCCCCTGCCCCCACCAAGTCCACCTGACAGGCAGCCTTAATGAATCTGACAAATTTACCCATATCTTGACAGCATCATAATTAAAAGCAGCTTTACATAAAGTCAGCTAGGTAGTTGTAAAGATATTACGGTTGGCCACTATCTCCAAAAAAGAAAAACAAGTTAATGAACTAAGTTGCAAATCCTGCTGCACAGAAACTTTGTATAACTTGCCATCATTTAATTTCAGTTTGAACAAACAAACGTCGAGATGTAGCTGTGATAGAGAACTACAAGTATTTAAAAACTGGCATTAATTCAGTGTTTGTGAGAAAATTGGAAGATTACAGAGCACCGTTGAAGTATTATGGATAAATGATCAGATTGCTGAATTTCTGCAGCCTAACCAGCAAGAAAACCAGAAACAGCAAGGAAGATTAAAGCTAATCAGAATGATTTACAACAGTTCCAGTTTGAACTAGGGCACCAATGGTAGAAGTGACTGCAACAAACTCTTTTGGGATTATATTCCAATAAGATTATGCATTTTAACTGTCACTTTCATTTAATGAGGTCACATTCGTATTATATTATCAGAATTGTACTGTCAGTAAGCTAACAGAACTGATTAAGAGGGGAGATATACCAGGGAGACAATTAGGCTTTTTGACCAAGAATAATTTGAAGACATTTTTTAAAAAAAAAACCCACAAATTTTAAAACCTGTAAGGCTTCCTCATACATGCATGAAACTTACAATACACGAAGTTGAATAACAGACTACTTTTAGTACTTTTGTCTTCAGCTTGTATTAGGAAATAGAAATTGAAACTGAGACATTTATATCTACTCACAAAAAGAACCACCTGCAGCCCAAGTGACCAGTGTTTGAAATACAAAAAAAAATGCAGTGTTCATAGTTTAATCATTAAACTACCTACATAATTCACCAGCAGAAAATGAAACACATTTTACACTTTTGAATTTACAGGCTTTAAGATTTATTTTAGAGAAGGATGTGTTGGATTTAATAAATCTAACAAAATACTGAAATCAGGATGGACGGTAATATTTGCTTGGCAGATCTGACATCTTCCCTAAAGGATTATACAATTATTACTTAAATAGAACTTTGCTTCAGAGCATCAGTAATTAGTTACTGAATCATAGTACAGAAGAGGCCCTTCAGCCCAGAGTCTCTGCCAAAAAAAAACACTATTACTACTTTCCCAAATTAGACCGATAGCCTTGTATGTTAGGCAAGTATTCATCCAAGTACTTGGAAAACGTTGAGATTGCCCATACAGTTACCCTCCCAGGTAGTACATTCCAGTCTCACACCACCCTCTGGGTGAAAAGATTTTTCCCTCAAATTCCCTCCAAGAATTAAGAGGTGAAAAGGTAGGTTGTTATTACCTTTCAACTAAAGGGTCACACAGTTAAAGCAAAATATCAAAGATGGCTTTTTTAAAAAAAAACTATTCTTGACACAATTAGGTTAGGGATCATGAACCTCTCATGCAGAGTTCATTAGTTGTGACTTGAAGTTATTTGGTGATAAAAGTCTGCATTAAGTCAGCTATTGCAACAAAGTTCTAAAATTGGATATCCCCGCACGTTACTGCAACCCTTGAAGTTTTTTTAAAAAAAAAGTTACCAAAATTCAAACTCAAGTTTAACTACAGAAGGTTTCATAACTTGTCTACAGAATACCTGATGTCTTATTGTTTCTGCTTTGACCCATTTCCCTCAAGGCCTAGTCTTTGGAACTAGGAATATCACGCAAAATGATTGCAGGAGCAACAACAAAAAAAAGTTCGCAGTAACTTCAAAAGAAAAAAGTCTTTATTCGTTTTTTTTTGTCTCGCTTCATCGATCAACAATGAGGAGTTGCAATTCTCTATCCTGAACAGTGGGTGGCGGAAGCAACTGGCAGTAGTCGAAATTAAACACTCCCAAAAAAAAGCGAAAAAATCCAGCGGTCAAACATAAAGTACAACTCGACTTTACACTGATCTTGTTCATAAAATAGTTATACATGATTGCATCCGTCACAAACAGCTCCACTCTCAAAGTCTACCTTGTTTGAAAATATTTATACACGACACAGCTAATACTCTGCAGAGTTTTCAAATTTTAGGTCGGAACAATGGTGCAAGTTCTGAGCAGACACAGTCTCAAGTAATTCCTTTAACAGGCAGCAATGCTGTTCCTTTAGAGAGAAACAATGTCCCTTTTTGCAGCTGGAATTCCACTTTCCCACGTCCCACCCACCCCCCCCCAAAATTGCTGGCTATGTTCTAATCAAAAAGCATTTTCAATCAAATTACAATCAAAGTTACAGACAGCAAGTCACCGTGCCAATCAGCATAGTTAAAACGATCAGATTGAAATTGCACCGAAGCCTCTCTCGTAAAAAGGGGAAAGAAAAATTGCTTGGGAATGTTTTGCTGTTGAGAACTGGATTAATTCTGGATCAGTCTCGGTTCCAGGTCGTTTGAGCATTCTCACCCCACCCGACCCTCAAAAGAAAAAGACACTCCCCAAAGGACAGCTGCCTGTTTAAAGGGACAACAGTGATGCCGAGGCGTATGAAGGTGGACAGCGTCCACGTTCCCAAAAAAAAACGAACGAGGCCGCCCCCTTTTCGTTTCTTGCTGCCAGGTTTATGAGGGCTTGTTGTAAGGAGCTGACTGGTTACCTCTCCCACCCATTCCCTCCCTCCCTCCCTCCTTCCCCGGCTAAAAACAGAAAGGGGCAGGCCGTTCTCAACAGCTCACGGTGCTCGGCTGCTGCTTGTTGACAAAGTCTGAAATGAAATCGAACTCATTCTGTCCCAGCCAGAGTTCCGGGAGCTCCTGAATGCGATCCAAGCCGAGCTCCAACACCAGAGATGTTAATACGTCCTCATCAATGAGGTCGGTGTCCATAACGTTCAGGGAGAGAGAGGGGGCTGTAACGTGTTGGATCCCAGGCAGAGGGGTCGGGTTCATGGGATTCCGGTACTGTTGGCTGGTGCTAACCATCCCGTTATTCATCCCAATCAGCGGGTGATTGTGGTATTGGTTGTTCAGTTTTTGCAAGTGCATAGTAGCCATGAGCTGCTGAGGGCTCAGAGTCCCCAGAAACTGTTGCTGCTGTTGCTGCTGAGTGCTGTACATCACGTTGGTGGACATTGGATGGTGGGTCATCTGTCCGGGCAGGTTGCTCACCCCGGGACGAGCTCTCATACCCCCGTTCGAGTCTATACTGGCCCCTCCGTAGTGCAGGAGCTGAGCGCCGGGGTGGTCTCGCCTTAATCCGGGTTGAGGGTGTTGCGGGTTCTGCAGTCCGCTTATCCCCATGCGGTAAGTCTGGAGTCCGTTCGTAGCATCAGGAAACCGCCCGGGATTCATTGACACCATCATGTGCTCCGCCATACCGAGAGAGAAGATGCAAGCAAAGGAGAGGAGAGAGACACTGCAAAATAAAGAAAAAACACACCAGAGACATTATAACCCGGACTGATCATGTACATGTTTATCCACACAGACACACACACAGCGTTTCCAAACTGTGTTGGAAATGCATTCATTCAACTAAAAGAAAAAAACTTTTACAGCTGCAATTTCACCAGCAGAATAATGAAAGCCAAGCTCTGAAACTGATTCCCCAAAGGTTCGTTGCTTGGTTAACCTTCAAATTTCATGACGGGGCATTTCAGAATTAACACGCACACACACAAAAGTACAACTGGGAGAAAGCGAGCGAGCAAAGAGAAACATTCCCTACCTTAACAAGCCTCTTTCTCTTACAGAATACAACACTGCAAAAAGAGGAAAAACTCAAATGATAAAACCGCAGTCGCTTATGAAATTTCGTACATTACACTAATTATTAAAATTCACTTGCACCGAGCTCCTTAAGCGTGCCTCTGGTTACTGGAGCAGATAGAGATTATATACTGTTCAGGGAAACGCGGGGTGGAGTTTACAAACGTCTTGTACTTGAGGCTGATTGGCTTGACGACGACGCGTAAACGTATTATTTTAACTTTGGTATCACCCAGAGCGTTCGATAAGCTCCTGTTTACTTTTTCTCTGACCAATGATTGGCCTCCCTCCTCCCCACTTTGAGTTTCCTGAATGCATCAAATTGACTCCCTACCGCCTGTTTGTTTTTAATTAAAGGAGTAAGCGTCAGAACGTCGAATTATTTACATTACAGTTTGCCACGAAATATGCCTGCAAGTGCTGTCCTTCCTAAAAGAAAATAAAGTGGGGGAACAAGCACATTAAAATTGAACAAATTATTTAAATGAGGTTGTAGTAAAAAAGTTACATTTATGACTGTGCACGCCTGTTTGGCGCTAGCTAGCCTGCAGTGACACGGTCAGTACAGCAAGAGGAAGACTGTGAATAAAGATTAGCAATTGGGACGAATAAATAAACCGAAGGTTAAAGTACAAATTGCAGTTCTACCTTTGAGAATTGACCTCGAAAGTGAACAACAAAAAAAAATTAAAATGCCCGTGTCCAGACCAGCTTGACAATCCCTCATCTCCAGGAATACACAGAGTCACAAGGCTTGGTTTAAGGCAGTTTATTTTGCAAAGCACTATCTGTTAAGTACTAAAATTACATTGCATTTAACTTGACAATTTATCTTATTCTCCTTTATTTGGTTGCACCCTGTTATCTAAACTAACTGGGTCAATGTCATTCCTTGAAATTGCTTAATAATGGTCAGGTACTTACCTCCCCATTGCTCAAATCAATCTAGAGAAGTAAAGCCAGCTTTAGTGGAATTGCCATTCATAAAGAATATGAATTCATGCAATCGTTTATGTTCGTTGCTTGATTGGATAATCTATCAATTTTATGATATTTGCAAGCAAGTGATGGCCTGTCACTTTATGTTTTACAGTTGACATTGCGAAAACGTTAGCAGAGCAATTTCGAAACAGCAGTGTGGGTACTGTATTATAAATACATGGATAAATATGCCTACTGTACGTTGTATATTGTGCACTGAAATATGCACCTGTACATTGGCGCAACTCGCAATCTTATAATTCTTTGAAAATAGGAGATTCTCGCAGTGAACTTTGTGTATGACATTCCCATTCGGTGGAGCAAGATCGTAGGTTTCCAGTTCCAGACCTTTCTGGAGGCTAAGAAACGTTTAACGTCTTTGACTATTGTCACGGAGAAGGCGTCAAAACTTTGCACCAAGTTGCAGTTGTAATGTGACAAAGCTTTCACGGGAAATGGCCTGTTCGAGTTCGTAAAGTGAAGACAAACTGCTCTCAGGATATAAGAGACAACAAGGTGCAGGGCTGGATGAACACAGCAGGCCAAGCAGGATATAAGGATGGCTTTACCGCACGTTTTGCCACACAGCACCGAGGCAAATCGGTGGCGGGGGAGGGGGGCGCGGGTTGGTGGTGAAAGGAGGTTTTCGTTTCATCCTAAGTGTAAATTGGTGCTTGAATTTTGAACGCAAGTTTCAAGAGTCTGCTACCACCCACAAGGATTGCAAGTCATTGACAAAGCAGCGTTCTGAATTTTGCACCACGTTGGTAATGTAAACAGAGGGAGAAAAACAAAGTACTATCAAAAGATCAAAACATTCTGGTTTTCGGTCAGGTTGTGTATTACCGAACGCAAAGTTTCTTGTTCTTGCAAATTGCATCGTGGTGTCTGAAAGTATGTTAGCAGCATTTGCTTGGGGTTCGGATTTTCAGTTTGGCTGATTACACAAAGACCCTGAGCAACAACAACAAAAAGTGAATAGCTGCATCTGCCTGCTCAACATATTCCCTCTTTTCATCCTCCTCCTTTAATCTCCTGTACCACCAGCTGCTTCTTTGATTTAAAAAGAAAGTGTGCTCTGAAGATATCCTGACATTATCACAACATTGTCCTTTTTTGACACATTGTTCTTCTCTGAACACATCACAGCAAATAAAACCGAAATAAAGAATTGCATTTAGATATTTTTGTCACAATCTCAGGATGATATATGACCACAAAACGTAGGAGCAGAGTCAGCTATTCAGCCCATTGAGCCTGCTTCGTCATTCAATAAGATCCTGGCTATTTGAGTGCTGGCTCCCTTATTCGTGATATATATATACAGAAGGAAATGTTGGGGGGATAATAAATAAGTTTGGAAAGGATTAGCTGGCTGTTTCTTGAGAGGAAGAAGGTCTCAGCCTACAGGATGATACAGATGGATTGGTCAGATAGACAAGTGGCATATGGAATTTAACCCTGAGGAGTGCATTTTAGAAGAAGTAACAGGACAATGGAAAACTCAATGAATGGCAGCTTATTTGGGAAGTTCAGAGGCACCAAAGGATCTTGGGATGCTTGTCGACAGATCACTGAAAGCAGCAGGACAGGTTAAGAAGCATATGAGACACTCGCCTCTATCCGTTGCAGCATAGATTATAAAAACAGGGAGGTTATGTTGGAGCTTTGGTTAGGCCACAGTGTGTGCAGTTCTGGTCACCACACTATAGGAGGGATGTGATTGTACTGGAGAAGGTGCAGAGGAAATTTGCTACGATGTTGTCTAGAATGGAACAGTTCAGCTATGAAGGGAGGCTGGATAATTTGTTTTCCTTTGAGCAGAGAAAGCTGAGAGGGGAACTGATGGATGTGTGTAAGATTGACTGCCATGAATAGGGTGAATAGGAAGCAACTGTTCCTCATTATCGAAGGGTCATGAACAACGGGGTGTAGTTTTAAGGTTAAATGCGGGAGGTTTAGAGAGGTTTTGAGGAAAAGATTCTTGACGCAGATGGTGACAGGAATATAGAATGCACTGCCTGGGAAAGTAATGGATGTGGGGAACCTCATAAACTTTAAAATGTACTTGGGTGAAGACTTGACATAACATTTTAAGTCTGTGAGCCAAGTGCTGGAAATGAGACTAGGGTAGACTTAGAATAGTTTTTTTTTGATGATGCAGGCTCAATGATTGGAAGGGCCTCCTCTGTACCCTCTGTACTGTATGAGTCTATGATAAAACAGTTCATAGTATTCTAGGTGTGGTCTAACTGGTGCCTTGTGTAGTTTTAGAAAGAGTTCTCTACTTTTATACTTCATTTTCTTTGAGATAAATACCATGGCTTCCCTATTTCCTGCTGAACTTGGATGCTAACTTTTTATGATTCATGGATGAGGATTCCCAAATCCTTCTGTTTTGTAGCTTTCTGTAGTCGTTCTCCATTTAAATAATGCTCACATTTTCGCACATTATGTTCAATTTGCCAAGTTCTTGCCCACTTATTTAATCTGCCCATATCCTTCTGAACATTCTTTGTGTCATCCCTAACACTTGCCTTCTTACTATTTTTGTGTCATCTGCAAACTTGTCTACAGTACATTCACTTTCCTCATTCATATCATTAATATAAATTGCACATAATTGTGGTCCTATTACTGATACTGTGGCTTTCTACTAGTAACAGAATGCCATCTCTTTCAAACTCTTTGTCATCTATCAGTTAGCCAATCCTGTATCCCTACTACCTCCAACACAATGGGCTCTCAACATGTTAAGTAACTTTATGTGTATTACCATATTGAATGCTTTTGGAAATCCAAATATATTACATCCACTGGCTCCTCTTTATTCATCCTGTTCATTACTCCCTCAAAGAATTCCAACAAATGTGTCAGGCAAGATTGACCCTTCATGAATCCATGCTGGCTTTGCTTGGTTATATTGTGTATTTCCAAATGCTCTGCCACCACATCCTTTAGAATAGACTCTAGTGATAATTATTGTGTTTATTTCCTCTCTCTTTTGCCCCTTGATTATTTAGTATTTTGAATGCCGTTAGTTTGTTTGACTGTGAAGACTTTTGGAAGGTATTTATTCAACTCCACAGCCATTTCCTGGTTCCCCCTTATTTTTTGTCCAGTCTCATTGCCTAAGGGGGTGATGTTCACTCTGTTCCCTTTCATTTATTTAATAATCCTGTCATTGCCTGTTTGATATTACTTGCTAGTTACCCTCAAAGTTTATTATCTCCCCCTTTTGTTGGTTTTTAAAACTTTTCCAATCCTCTGACTTAACACTAATCATTATCTTATGGTATGTTTTTCTTTCAATTTGATGCCATCCTTAACTTCTTGGTTGCCACATTTACTTTTCAAGCAACCTAGAATTCTTCTTCCTCACTGGGTTAGATCTTTCTCGTGAGTAGTGGACTGTTTTCTTAAATGTCTGCTATTGTTCTTAAACAGTATTTTGTGCTAAGATCTCTTCTCAATCCACTCCAACCAGCTCTGCCCTCATTCGTTTGTAATTACCCTTTTATAAGTTTAATACTGTCATCTAGCTCAAGGAAGACACTCGAATGAGAAGAGGACAAAGGAAGCATTTAAAGACTCCCTGAAGACATCAGTCAAGAAATGCAACATAGA